CCTCTCTTCCCATGAAAGGCATTCAGTGCATTTGTCAATTTCCCTGTGCACAATATGACCATTCAGTTTTACTCTTTCCATTGCTCCATGTATTTAATCACTCCCAGTCCAAGTCAGTGTTTCATAAACTTTGGAGCCTCCTGCACAACTCCCTGAGACTGCAAATTTCCCATCTGCCTTCCTCCCAGAGATTCTTACATTTCCCCTTCAGATTACTTACCTGTATGATTTCTATCCACATTGAGATTTGGACCCTGTTCCTTGCTGGTCTTCCCTTTCCCTTTCCTGTGTTGATTATTGTGGTCCCTGTATACATGTCTCAGCTTGTTTCTGACTGGGGAGGAACAAGACTTGGGGACAGCCCTTGTAACACAGAAAGTCATACTCACCCCTCCAAAGCCAAATTGCCCCTTCCTTTCCAATGCCTTCAGTCACTGTTCAGCAGAGCAGGGGCAGCTGGGAACTGGAATGAAAGGGACCACATTCAACAAACCTCTCTAGCTAAAATAGACCTTTAGACACAGACTGTTGCTTACACCTGTTCCTAAATGGTGGAAATGGGCATAGAATCAATCTCACAACACTCCCCCTTTGGGGTGTCCCAGCTGTTATCCCTGGTTGCAGCTTCCCAGCTGTTATCCCTGGTTGCAGCTCCAAGAATGTAAATCCCACTTCTGACACCAGTTTCTGTGGCATCAAACAGAGAACACTCCCCCTAACTAATTAAGACTCACTGCAGTTATTATTTATTCAGTGTACACTGGAATTCCCTCCAGAAAATAATGGGAAAGATTCTTACAGACAAAAGGATGCACTCATAAATACATTTCAGGAAAGGAAGAGAAAATTATAGCTATACATTGGTAATAGATGATGTAAGTGTAAATATTTATAATCAGCAAGCCTCAATTTACTTCTCCATTCATTTTCTGTTATTATCCTCAAGAAAGAGTTACAGGTAGTCCTCGACTTACAACAGTTCATTTAGTGACCGTTCAAAATTACATCACTGAAAAAAGTGACTTTTGACCCTTTTTTACACTTAAGACCATTGCAGCATCCCCATGGTCACATGATCAAATTTCAGATGCTTGTCAACTGACTCATATTTACGTATTGCAATATCCAGAGGCCATGTGATCACCTTTTGCGACCTTGTGACAAGCAAAGTCAATGGGGAAACCATTTTCACTTAACAACCGTGTTACTAATTTACCAACTGCAGTGATTCACTTAACAACAATGGCAAGAAAAGTTGTAAAATGGGGAAAACTCAAGAAATGTTTTACTTAGCAACAGAAATTTTGGGCTCAATTATGGTCGTAATTTGAGGACTAAAAAGAAAATATCAGTTGCATTGCCACAGCAGTTTCAATAAATATACTGAGAAGTGAGGACTTCAAGGCCCCAATTAGCATACATTCCTTCTATGTTTCTATCTTGCTAACATGCTCCCACCCCTCCAGGAATTGTTCTCCTTACAGTATACAAAGCAAACCTCATAGTGAGGAGAGAAAGCTTGTAAGTCACAAATGGGATGGAACAGCAGTTCATTTGTGCAGATTTTTTTCAAAAAATATACTGTACACAATATATCAATCTTCATGTGAATTCTTGATGGCATAAGATTGTTAAACACTAACATCCTTAAAGAAATAAATCACTCCATAAGCACACAGTGTGGATTATTTATAACATCTTGTATACTAACAAGCTATCGAGTATGCTTTTGGTTAGCACCAAAACTCAGATTATATGTCAATGATCCCTTGATATCCCATTTTTGTAAAATGTTGATTGCATTCTATTGCAGTACTGATGGGCTGGATGCCAAAACAAAGCAAGATTAGGCATACAATTCAAAAGAGTCCAGGAAGTCTATAATTGGGGATTTTGTCTGGCAAGAACAAAGAATGCTTATTCACAAGACATATGCACATGTAAAGCTTGTAACAATTCTGGGTGGTTAGAGGGCTGATAAAAGTAATGAAGAGTTAGACATTTTGCAGACTCAGCTAAAAGTTAGGAATAGGGATGGCCTGGAGCAAACAGGATGTGTATTAGATAACTCCTGAAGCATTCATTAGCCAAGGATTAGGAATAGGGATGGCTAGAGATCAATAGAATAATTGTTAGATTATTATTGAAATGTTTATTAGATGATATTTCTCATATATCCCACCTTACCCTGCCTTCTGCTTTAGAGAAAATGTATAAAGCTTTATTAATTTTGTGGTTCGGGGTTCCTTGGCATTTTAGCCAGGATCCCTTTTCTTGGAGTGCTTCAATAAAAGACAACAAAACCTGCACCTCGTGTCTGGTGTTCTTCATCAGCCTTAGCACCAGGCTCAGACCCGAACTGGGGACAACAGTACCATAAGAAAGAACAATACCGATGAACCTTAATATGTTAAACAAAACCACACTATTTCACTGAGGTTATAAACATATTATATGTATGTCCAAATTAAATAAAATAGCAGCATCAAATATTTATAACTGCTAGTCCTGAAGCAAGATTTGGGAAACTTTAGAGTGGCTTTGGAGTCGCTTGCAGTAAGAAGAAAATCAGATATTACTAATTCCATGGTACTGTTTTCTTAGTGACCTTATAACAGTAAGGATGACAAAGGAGAGCTTTTGTCTACATTACAAAAATTGCGTAACAAGCCCGGTTTGAACAAAGAAGAGGGAGTCAAGCTATTCTCCAAAGCGCCTGAAGGCAGGACAAGAAGCAATTAATTAATCAAGGCGAGAAGCAACCTAAAACTAAGGAGAAACTTCCTGACAGTTAGAACAATTAACCAGTGGAACAACCTGCCTCCAGAAGCGGTGAATGCTCCAACACTGGAAGTTTTTAAGAAGAGACTGGACAGCCATTTGTCTGAAATGGTATAGGGTTTCCTGCCTGAGCAGGGGGTTGGACTAGATGACCTCCAAGTTCCCTCCCAATTTTATTATTATTATTATAAATATAGCTCTTGCCTCAGAATGTTGGGAAGAACTGCAGTTTGAGAGCAAGAAAACCTTTCAAAAGCACTTGATTTTCCTAAAAAGATACCCTGGCCACATCAAAGATTGGTATTTCAATAACCTCAAACTTCTGCAACCTAACTTTTTTCATTTGGCAGGGTGCAGGTATCAGCCTTATTATACATCATCGCTTGAAAGTTAAGTCCGGTGAACTGCTCACTTCCACGTATGCGTAGATCAGTGGTTCTCAACCTGTGGGTCGGGACCCCATTTGGGGTCGAACAACCATTTCATGGGGGTCGCCAAACCATGCTGCCCACCATTTTGTTCCCTTTTCCCTAGCTGTCCTACTCCCTCTTATTGGTGGCCACACCCACTTGGGGGTCACCACAACATGGGGAACTGTATTATGGGGTCACGGCATTAGAAAGGTTGAGAACCACTGGCGTAGATGTTTCTTAAAAATCTTGGAAATATTTTTCATTTATTTCCCTTTCGACTTTCTGCATAGACACAGATTTTTGAGGTTTTGATGGCTTTGAAACAAACATCATTTCAGCTGAAGAGGATCTATTTTTGGTGAACGGACCTGACTTCTCACTTTCTCTTTTGTGTGATAGGAAACAGGGCAAATAAATGAAACTTTCCCTATAGTGTATGTCATAAGTAGGGCAGCATTAATTAGGTTGAGCAGCAGTTATAAAACGCCTTTTTCATAAAATTTCTCATTGTGCAATCTAAATTTTATCATAAAATATGGCATTTGACAGTAGATTATTAATCAGAAATTTCTAATAATTCTAAAGGTCTATAGAAGCCACCTGAAAGTCATAAACTCAGACAAGTTAACTATATACAAATAAGAAAAGCAGATGTTGCTGGCTAACTGAAAAGGCAAGTAGGGGAAACACAAAAACTGAAGATAGTTAGAGCTTAAGCTAGGAAAGGTATGTTGTTGTTGTTCATTGCGAAGTCCTGTCCGACCCATCGCGACCCCATGGACAATGTTCCTCCAGGTCTTCCTGTCCTCTACCATCTTCTGGAGTCCATTTAAGTTCACACCTACTGCTTCAGTGACTCCATCCAGCCATCTCATTCTCTGTCATCCCCTTCTTCTATTGCCCTCAATCTTTCCCAGCATTAGGCCCTTCTCCAGTGAGTCCTTCCTTCTCATTAGGTGGCCAAAGTATTTGAGTTTCAACTTCAGGATCTGGCCTTTTAAAGAGCAGTCGGGGTTGATCTCTTCTAGGACTGACCCGTTTGAACGCCTTGCAGTCCAAGAGACTTGCATGAGTCTTCTCCAGCACCATAGTTCAAAGGCCTCAATTCTTTTGCGCTCAGCCTTTCTTATGGTCCAACTTTCACAGCCATACATTGCAACTGGGAAAGGAAAGGTATAACAGCAAACAAATATAGAAATAATTATAATTGAGCTTAACAGAAAACTAGATGGCGAGAGATAAGACGTGCACAAAGGGGGCTTCCTGAAACATGGGGAGGGGGGGGGAAATGGCTTAGGTGCTTTGAGTTAGTTTATCGGCTGTTCAGACAAGGGGTGTTGAGAGCGATAGGGGAGGGGGGAATCTGCATGGGGGGTAGGATATAAAAGTGTGTTATCTCTTTAGGTGTAGCTGTACTCCTACGTGTGCTTCAGCTCACCAAGCCTTTGCAAATGCTTCTTTTCAAATAAAGTTTTGTTTCTGGAATTCCAAGTGAGTTTGTTTGTTTTGGGATCCTGAGCCACGTTCCAAACAGCATTCTATTTTTTTTTTATTCTGTTAAACGAAGGGACGTCTTTCCTTTAGAAGTCACCGCGGGCCTTCCCAAGAATCAATAAAGAGAAAGTTTCACCAACAAGATAAATGAATGCATCAAAGAGACACCAAGCGACACTAGTAAAAGGACATCTATGTGGTGAAAGAATCTGTCTGTACTTATATACCTCTACAGCGCTCAGGAACCCTTTCCTCAGGAGACTCTTCCCTCTTGCCCACGTGAATAACCTACCGGAAGTAGAACCTTTGTAGCTCGGAAGGAAAGTTGTTGGGGGGAGGGGGGGTTCTGCTGGCTTGAGCCATGGCTGTTTCTCCTTACGTGAAGAACATGCAGGAGCAGTTCCGGGCTAACACACGGAGCCGCGAATTCCCCGCGCACGGGGCCAAGGTCCACTCGGTGGCCTGGAGCTGCTGTGGCCACCGTCTGGCCTCCGGCTCTTTCGACAAGACCGCCAGCGTCTTCGTGCTGGATAAAGACCGGCTGGTGAGTCCAGGGACGGAGGAGTGGAAGAAGTGGCGAATCAGTGCTAGCAGCGGCTGCAGAGAGCGTGGCGGGTTTATTGGACTCTCGACGGCAGATGTGGGAATTGGAGCATTTTTTTGTGTGTGTGTGGAAAGGGCGACAAATATCGGCTTGAAAGTAAACCTGCTTGAATTTGGTGGCTCTTGTTTTTCAACTTTTGGGTGGCTTCCGGATGTTCGTAACGGATGCAAATCATTTTGTCTGGCTGATCTGCCAATAAACCCTCTGAGTTCATAAACTCATCCTAGTGTCGTCGGTGAGGCTGCTTTCCGACTTTCTCTCCCAATTGCCTCTTCTTGGTTGCATTCGATTTTACCAAGTCTCAGGCTCTTCTCTAGTGATTCTTTCCTTAATGTTACATATTAAAAAGAAACATTTAGACTTTAGCTGCATTATTAATGCTTCTACTGAGTTCTATAATTTTACTTTAGTTGTGATTGAAAGATTTTTTCTTGGGGGTATTCTCCACATTTTTCTCCAGTGCTGTTATTGAAAAACATCAATTTCCCAGCTTTCATGACCATGTGTTACAAAAGCATGGCCTTAACGGTATATATCTGTGTGATTACTTTCATATCCAAAGTGTCTGGATCTGTTATGGTCTACCAAGCAGCAGACTTATTTTTATTTCATGGCTACAGTCACCATCTCTCAGTTTTTGAGCCCAGGGAGGTAAAGTCAGCATCAACTTATTTTCTGCTTATTTGTACTTCTGCGTTGACATCAGCTTAATTTCTTTCAATATTGGATAGCAGACTAGATTTTCTTTTTTCACCTTCAAAAAATGATTCCTTAAGTCTTGGCCATCAACATATCCGTAGCGTTTCATTTTCTGACAAAGTTTTAATTTCTATTTCCTCTGTTCCAGCATTTCTCATAATATATTTTGCATATGTTACATGAATAAGATGACAGATTACATCCTTGACACACTTCTTTCCCAATTCTGAACAATTTTATTACTACATATTTAATTCTAACTATTGCTTCCTGATCATCATATAAAGTGACCAGTATACCTATGAACTATTTTAAGGACTATTCATAGTTTTGATATCTATATAGTTAAAAATCTTAATATAATCAATAGAGCAAAAAAAAAAAAAGATATGGTTTTAGAACACTCTTGACTTTTCCACTATCTGTGTATACTAGCAATCTGATCCACTGTCCATGGATACTAGCAATGTGATTGCTTCTACTGGATTCAGGTTGTTCATTGTTAGGTCTTGTTCCATAATATAGTTGGAATATGGATTGTAAAATCTTGAACATTTCTTATTGATATGTGACATAATGGCAATTGTTTAGTAATTTTGAATATTCTTTAATAAAGCCCTTTTTAGTATTGAAATAAAAATGGATGCTTTTAAGTTTTTGGGCATTTCTCTGTTTTCTACATAGTTTACAAAGCACAAGTAGCACTTCAGAAACATAAGATTTTAAAAATGATAGCTGATATTTCTTGCAGATTTGTTGTTACCAATATTCACTTTCTAGTATGTTTGTTTCCAGTTCATTGATCTAAACTTTGTATCTTTGATTTTGAAATATTTTTAAATATAATTCTTCTATGTTTGGACTCTCTCACTTCTTGGGGCAGAAAGATAAATTGGGAAGCTGAAAAACCAGCCTAGGAGAAGGTGATAAGACTCTTCCATATTGGTATCAGTAAACTAAATTGTTATCTTTAAACCATCTGAGAACAGTTGTTTAGAGAGGAAGACTGTAGGGTGAGAAGTGGGGTAACTTCTACCTTACTTAGTCAACTGTTCTTCTATAATTCTATCAAAGTGCATATAGAGAATCAAATCCTGCACAAATCCTTGAATCAAATCCTGCACAGACAACTATATTCAGTGGCATTTAGATTATGATGAAGCGTAGGTGATAAAATGATTGTGAAGGGCAGAAGAATTTGTTGAAAATTTTTGTATTGTTTGCCCTTCAGGTCAAGGAAAACAATTACCGTGGCCATGGAGATAGTGTGGATCAGTTGTGTTGGCATCCTAGTATCCCAGATCTATTTGTCACAGCATCTGGTGATAAAACCATTCGTATATGGGACGTTCGAACCACTAAGTGCATTGTCATGGTGAATACAAAAGGTATTTTTCTTCTTAATTAAATAAGAGATCTTGGGGACAAAATTATTCCATATTTATTTGTTGCTTCCTGATCATATAAAGTGACCAATATACCTATGAACACATGCTTTTAATATATGTTACTTTTAAGGGAGAAACAACGTGTTTTTCATGGTATTTGACCAAATCATTCTCTTTCTTTTCTCTTCTTCTCTTTTCAGATAAATAGCCATGGCCAAATCTGAAATGCACTCGTACTGTTGTATTATAACATTGTTAGTTAATAATTGTTGTATTAAAAAGTTGCATTTTCTGTTTATCATCCTTGCTTTGCAAATACAAAAGCCTGTGTAGATTGTTCTTGCTGCAATTAATTAATCAGAAGATTTGTTTTTCCCTTTTTCTCCTTTATAGGTGAAAACATTAACATCTGCTGGAGCCCTGATGGTCAGACTATTGCAGTAGGGAATAAAGACGATGTTGTCACATTCATTGATGCTAAGACATATCGGTCCAAAGCTGAAGAACAATTCAAGTTTGAAGTGAATGAGATATCTTGGAACAATGACAACAACATGTTTTTCCTCACCAATGGCAACGGTTGCATCAACATCCTCAGGTACCTTCACCATAGTCTTCTCTAGGAAGGGCAGCAAGTGAGTTGGCTGTCTTGTCTTTTGATCTAAGTGGTGTTGGGAAAATGGATTTGCCTTTTACATAGATGCAGCCTTGTTTATAGATACTTTTTCTTTGTTCTGCCTTCCATTTTTGCTTCTAATTGGAGTTCATATCATGATTTCAGTGATACCATTAGCAGCTGCAAAACTTTTTGCAATATGTTCTCATTTCAGGACCGTAAAGTTTAAAGCAAATAGAAGACAATATATATAGCTCAAGTTGAACTGTTGAGTTCTTGGTGTTCTCTGAGCTTGGCTGCTTTCTTGCATGCTGGCCAGGCAGAAAAAAATCAAGTTCAGAGAGTACCAAGAACCCAACAGTAATATAAATACTGTTTTATTTTCATGGATATCTCTGAATACTGTTTCCTCATAAGAGTTCTTTCTGTTCCATTTATTATTCCTGCTATATTAATATATCTATATCTATATATCTATATCTATATCTATCTATCTATCTATCTATCTATCTATCTATCTATCTATCTATCTATCTATCTATCTATCTATCTATATCTATCTCTATATCTATCTATCTATCTATCTATCTATCTATCTATCTATCTATCTATCTATCTATCTATCTATCTATCTATCTATCTATGTAGGTCTTTGGTTATTCGGATTTTCTCCCGCGTAAAATTGGAAGTGTCTTGGCAACGTTTCGACGAAGTCCCATTCGTCATCTTCAGGCTGGTGTTTTCAGCTTCGTGCTCCTCGAAGCACGAAGCTGAAAACACCAGCCTGAAGATGACGAATGAGACTTCGTCGAAACGTCGCCAAGACACTTCCAATTTTACGCGGGAGAAAACCTGAACAACCAAAGACCTACATACAAATACCCGCGAAAACCTCAGAAAACATAAATAAATAAATAAATAAAGATATATTAAGATCCAAGGTATCATGAATTTAATTCTTCTTAATAGTGGCCATTGCCACATTTTTCTTTCTTCAGCTTAGATACTTATTTTTAATTGCTCTCCAAGGAATGTGAGATGGCATACCTGGAGATATTCCCTTGTTTTCTCAGCAATGTTCTGAGAGGCCCTGGAGTTAGAGTCTCCTAGTGCAGGGCTTTTCAACCTTTTCACCCATTGTACCACTTTTAGGATATGGCAATATCCAAGTACTACCAGTCGCCTAGCAAGGTGTCAAAAACTTGATGACCAAAAAAAAAAAAAAAAGAGGAAAAAAGTGATAAAGTACAGGTAGTCCTTGACTTACAACAATTTGTTTAGTGACTGTTTGAAGTTACAATGGCACTGAAAAAAGTGCCCCCCCAGCCACAGCCGAGCAAGACGCCTGCCCCCCCGGTGGCACTCTTCCTCCTGTCTGAGGTTTTCATTGTGAGCATTTCTGTTGAGGATTGGCAGCGGGGGTGGGGTGGGGGGGTGTTTGGTCTTATTCCCCCCCGTCTGCTGGGTGGTTGCAGCAGGTTTTGGTCACTTCACATGACCCTGGAACACTGACCATCATAAATATGAATCAGTTGCCAAGCATCTGAATGTAAATCACAAGACCCTGGAGATGCTGCGACATTCCAGCTGATCGGTGCTTCTTCAGGGCTTAGCAGAAGCTCCAGGATCAGCGTCGAGCTCCAGCTGGAGCCTGGCACTGATCCTGACGCTTCCGCTGAGCCCTGACAGCCCTGCAGCTCCAGCCATCTCTTGCTATGGGTTGTGTGGTGCTGCCACCGGTTCAGCTCATTCTCCTCCCCCGCTACCACTTTTCTAGGATGGTCGTGTACCACCTGCCAAATGCCAATGTACCACAGGTGGTACCCATACCACTGGTTGAAAAGCTTGGGCTAGTGAGCTCTATGGTTAAGTGGGGATTTGTATTTCAATTGTCTGCTCCATTTTGACACTAATGAAAGGTATTCCAGTGAAGGACTACTAGTCAAGTATTTTAAAAACTAAATAAAAATGTCGTATTCTATTTTCCTCTTTTTTAATCAGTTTATCACTTAACCAGATGTGGAATATTGGGATATGATCTCAGATCCAGAATGTTATTCAGGCATCCAGATTTGCTAACGGAAGAGGAATTTCACTATTAGGGCCTGCTTAGATCTTTATTATGCTAAAACAAATTTCCTTCTTGTATTTGAACTGACTTTTAAATAAGGGCAATTATTATCCTCTGCGTTCGCATTTCCTTATGTGTGCAAACCATGAAGCAACCTCCTTTTTCAAAATATCTCAATTTTCTTTGCCTTTTAGCAGACTTTCCAGACTAGGATAGATGTGCTTTTTGCAGCAAAATGAACAGAATCTTAAAGATCCTTATATTGGTGTAGCATAAACAGTGATGAACAAACTTTTCTGCCTTTTTTACTTTACATTTGTTTAAATTTTTAAAACGTATTAAAGGGGTCATATATGCTCTTTTATATTTGCTTATAACTCTTCAGTGCTAAAATAAAGTAAGATATGCTATTCAAACTATGCAGCACGTGGTTCCTGATATATAATAAGGAGCCTGCCTTACATTTAGACATTGTTAAACAAGATTTCAGGGTATGTCCTAGTTAGTGAATTGTATGTGCATTTAATAAACTGTTTTTATTTCTTTTCTGCAGCTACCCAGAGCTGAAACCCATTCAGTCAATTAATGCCCACCCCTCAAATTGCATTTGTATCAAGTTTGATCCAACGGGCAAGTATTTTGCTACAGGAAGTGCTGATGCATTGGTTAGCCTCTGGGATGTGGATGAGCTGGTATGTGTACGATGCTTCTCTAGGTGAGTTGTATTAAAAGTGTTAAAAAGTACTTTTCCAGATTTTGGGCTTGTAGATAAATAAATGGCGCTTTTCTGAGATTAATGGAATGAAACGTATTTATAATCAAAATACTATGCTAAGTCCAAAGTAATTAGAAGGATGTACTATAGAAATGCAATAGTGCAATATGTGAGCTATGCAGTATAGCTTAATGATATATAATGGAAGCATATTGGGATGATATAGTTATCCTGAAAAAATGATGATGATGACGACGGCAATGGAAAACAAGAAGAGGTTCAATGTAAAATTTATTACACTGTTTTTAAGTTCCATTCTTGTTTTTTCATTGCAGCTGTGATTTATTATTGTATAGATCGTATATGTAGCAAGTTGATTAAACAGTAAATCCTGCTTTGTCTTTAAAGAAGACAGTGTGCTTGGATATTTCAAACAATTTCAAATTTAAAATCTAAATTTAGAATCTATTTAAAATAATTTGAAAAATTCTGAAAAAATTATTAATAAATAATATGAATGCTCCATCTTAGTGCCCATGTAATACAAGTAGTCCTCAACTGTGGATCAAAATTGAGCACAAAATTTCTGTTGTTGAGTGAGACATTTGTTAAGTGAATTTTGCCCCATTTTATTATTTTTCTTGCCAGTTATTAAGTGGATCACTGCAGTTGTTAAGTTAGTAACACGGTTGTTAAGTGAATCTGCCTTCCCCATTGATTTTGCTTGTCAGAAGTCACAAATGATGATCCCAAAGATACTTTTTCATGAGGCAACTGGATTTTCTTGTTTTGCTTTGAAGATGTTTCGCTTCTCATCCAAGAAGCTTCTTCAGCTCTGACTGGATGGTGGGGAATGGAAAGATTTATACTCCTTGCAGACAACTGTTCATCTGCATTCTTTTAGTGAGTCCTTAAAGGTACCTGGAGGCTTATCAGAGTCACTTTCAAAGAAAAACAAGAAAGTCCAGTTGCCTTGTGGAAAAGCATCTTTGGGATAACTATGACCTGGATGACTGAGAATCTCCATAGCCATTCACAAATGATGATCCCATGGCCTCAGGACACTGCAACCGTCATAAATATGAGTCAGCTGCCAAGTGTCTGAATTTTGATCACATAACCAAGGGGATATTGCAATGGGCGTAAGTGTGAAAAATGGTCATAAATCACTTTTTTCAGTGCCTGTCACTAAATGAACTGTTAGAAGTCGAGCAACACCTGTATTAAAGTGTAACTGCATTTGTAGTATGGGGTCAAGTAAAAGATTTTCTCTTAAGAAAAAATAGAGACCAGGATGCAAATGAGTAAACTATTATTTTATACCTAATATAAATTAGGTGGTATAGCTACTAACTAGGGGGAGTTGTCCTTTTCTGTCTAACAAAATGAGAAATAGGAGTAATCCAACAAAACCAGTTGGCAGTAGATTAAGTAGATTAAGAACAAAAATCATATAGCACAAAATGTGTTACTACAAGATATTGTCATCTCTGTCTTAGAGAACTTTAAAATGATATTAATAACTGAGGTACAAATTAGTTATTGTACTTAAATGACATCTCCATAGTCAGTGGCAATATTTCTACTTTTGAAAGACTAGATTCTAAGAATGATAAACTAGACTGTTTAGTGGTGCCCAAAGCACTTATCTCCCCTCTTGTAATCTATTTCTCTATTTCCTTCTTTGCTTCCTGATCTTAGACTTGATTGGCCTGTCAGGACGTTGAGCTTTAGCCATGATGGCAAGATGTTGGCTTCAGCCTCTGAAGATCACTTCATTGATATCGCTGAAGTAGAAACTGGTGAGTATAGTTTTCTTGCTGCCTAGTTTATTAGGAGAGGAGGTCAACTGAATGAAGGCATTTTGTAAAGAAGGGCTAGTAAAATATTGATGTATCATATTTTTTCCCCCTATCTTCTGCTTTTTGGTTTTGAATTTTGGTCTCAGTTTAAATACTGTGTATCTCACAGAATTTTATCCTTAGGCAAGCATAATATCTAGGCATAATATCTATGAATGAAATATATAATGTAATGTATGCCTTAAGCTGTTTGGAAAATCTTGCTGCTTTCTCGTGGAAAGAGGTTTTTTTTCTGAACTGCCCTTATGATTCAGAATAAAAGGAACACGTATTCAACAGTAGTTCCTAACTTGCATTCTTGTCTATAATGAGCTAAGGATATAGGGTTTGAGTTGGTCCCCAAAACAGTATCTAATTATGTCTTTGTTTTTTAGGGGAAAAGCTCTGGGAAGTACAATGTGAGTCCCCAACTTTCACAGTCGCTTGGCATCCAAAATGTGCGCTATTAGCCTACGCCTGTGATGATAAAGATGGCAAATATGATAGCAGTAGAGAAGCGGGCACTGTAAAGCTCTTTGGTGTTCCCTATGACCCTTAAGAGAAAGCTGCTAGAGACTTTATTTATGACCTAGGATTATAAGCCAGTGTAGAACATTCAGAAGACACTCAACTCCTCTCTGGATTTGTTTTTCTTTGTGGAAGAGAATAATGCCATGAATTTTAATTCCCTTGTCTGGGAATTAGGTTTTAAAGAAGTTTTTATGCATTGTTAACTGTCCTAGAAGACAGAGAAGCTGAAATGATCTGGACTTCTTTGGAAGGCATGGCTTATTTAATATTTTGATTGCAGAATTACAGGGGAGCTATCAATATTTTAGCTTCCAATGCGTTTGTGTTCTCCATTATAACAGTCTCTGTCCTCTGTTTAATTGAGAGCGTCAGAGGCAAAAATTGCTGCAAACACGGATTATGCATCACTGTCATTTTTCTGTGTCTTCTTTTGAGAATAGAAATTCTGGTTAAAAATTATGCTGGTTTCTTCTAGCCATGTTTGAAATTTTCTTTTTCATAGTTAACTTTTGAGAAAATGTATATAACTATATGTCCAATTCTTTTTGTACTTTAGGATAATAAAAGGAATAAGGCTGGAAAATGATATTAATTTTTGTATGATCCTGTATTTGTAACTTGGATAAAGATGTTTGCTAAAATATTGTGTATTATGGTTTAAAAGGCAATTTACTGAACTTCCAGAAAACTATTCATATAGTCTTGGACTATTGATTCTCTCATCTTATCTTCTGTGGAATATTACAGCAGCATTCAAAGAGGCAAAGAAAGATGGACCTAGAGCAGCCTTCGTGTGACGGCGACCCCTGGGGGAAAAATGGCAGATCGCAAATGGCAGATCGCGTTGTTTCGCGACCCCCGTAAAATGGTCGATCGACCCCAAATGGGGTCGCGACCCATAGGTTGAGAACCGCTGACCTAGAGGATGTTGTTACCTTAATTGAAAGCTTTCTGCATTGGTTACCAGTTTGATTCCAGGTCCCGTTCAGGGTGATCGATGGAGTCATTTTGCAAACATCTTTGTGCACAGCTGTGCATGCTTTAAATCTCATAGGTATTTGGATTGATTTGTTATGACAAAGTGAAAATATTGTTCAATGTATAAATAATCAGCATAAGCATGAGGGTTTGGGGGGGGGGGATTCTGTATAAAAAGCATGCAAATAACCAAGGGACTCTTTTTAACTTACAAAGGCAGGATTTTGTGTTGTTCCCTTTTCATGTTGCAGGTTTCCCTGATCTATTAAGATTAGCCATTCTAATTGGGCCCTTGAACCTCATCAAAATCCAACATGCTGCTGCATGCATACAGAAATTACACAATGTGTCAGGGCCCACTTCCAAACCTCATCCTAAGAAAGCAGAACTCATGGAAACAGGATTCTTCCAAAAGGAATTTTTATTAGGAAAAGCTGATAGTAGGCTTGCTAGATAGGATCTGAGGTTTTCCGGGCGCAGATCAATAGGTTAAAGTGTCCCCAAGCAAACCCCACCCCATAATTCATCCGAATGGTTCAAGTCGGCCATTCCCCAGGTGTGAAGTCCATCGTGAGAAGGGGGAGATAACATCAGGCCGGCTCTAGTTGTAATAGCGATGTTTAGGGGCTTGTAATAGCGATGTTTAGGGGCGACTTGGCACCTTCTTCTGAGAGCTAAGAGATAAGCCAGTTCCCGGAGGTTGCATTCCTTTCTTCCTCCCCCCTTTAGTTAGTTGACAGTTTAGGGAGAGAAAGTATAGAGAGAAGATTGCAGGAAAGCAAAGTGTTACAATGTAGTGATAGAGGAAGCTTAGGCAATAAACCCTGTGATCACCCCCCCCTCCCCTCCAGGAGTATAGCAGAACCCAAGGAGAGAAGAGAATGGATTTTGGGTCAGGGAAACAAAAGAGAGAAAGATAGGTATGGGTTCTGACATCATGAATATATTGTAAACATCTTAGGGTCATAAACTTTCTTTTGTAGCATTAAACTAAACTGGGTTTTTTTAAATGAAGAGCAATATAGTTAGATGCGGTACCTATCCCTACGTGGGATAGGTGAGCAAGCATGAATTGAGCTAAATACTGAAAGAGAAGCCCACCAATTTAAATTGGGATCTTTCCATTTCATACTTTCTTTCACAAATGGATTTCTAAGCATATTTCTTCTATTGGCCTTCTGTCTGCCTGAGGGGAATTAGTTATTACTGCCATTGGAGGGCAGTGTAATGCTTAAGTTGGAGTGTGGAATAAAATAACAATTTGGTTGTTTTTCTTCTAATCGGTTCAGCTTGAAACCTTTGTATTTGTGGTTGCTTTCTGTATTTTTCTTCCTATCAAATCACACAGTAATTTTCTAAAAAGTGTCAGTTTATTGGAAATAAGCCTAGGACTGCAGCCTGTGACAATTACAAGCTCCAATTATTGGCCTTTGTGTTGTGCATGCACAAGGAGCTGTTAGGTTTTTAAGCTGGAAGGCATTAATCCACTGTTCAACGTTATTAGCCTTGTCCAAGAGCCTTCAGCCATACAAAGTGAATGGCATTTATCACACACTTATCAACAGGTGTTCTCTTGACCTCTCTCTAGGTTCTCTTTGAAAAACCTTAAAAACAATGAGCTCAACTGCTAGCCCTCCATTCAGTATCTGAAATAAATATTTGATATCTTCCATGATTTCTGCATGAAGCTGTCCAGCTCTCATTCTCCATTTTGAAACTTCAGTTCGATCTTTTGGGGGTCTTAGTTTGCCCACTCCCTTATTTCTCTGTCTAAAGTTCCTTCGGACCAGCCAGCATGGCTAAAAGCAAAGGATTGTGAAGTTGTCGTTCCCTTAGCATAACAAGTGGCAGATGGAGTAAAAGAGACAAGTACTGCTGTCCTCAGACTTGCAGTGGGATATATTTTCTCACTTGGGCTCATCTCTGCTGTACCTGTTCTGCTGAGGGCTGTAAGAAGTGGAGAAATGGTGCCAGGCTATATTATATATAAAAGAAAAGAGAGATGGTGGTTCAGAAAGATGAAAAATAAAAATAAATAAATGACCCAATGAGTCATGGGTTGTCTAGTATATAGACAATATAATATCTTTAGAAAAATATAAAAAAAGATGTACAACATTAACTTTTGGAGCCTACTGTATGTAATGTGGCTATATGAAATTACATTATTTACAGATCAACCTCTTAGGTTCACCTATGTCTCAGAGAAGAGAAATACTTTCCCATTCTTTTTTTTGTTTTAACTAGGAATCATAGCCACTGAATTTGAGAATGCTGAATTGCAAAACATTTGCTCCATTCCAAGCTATCCCCCCCCCGCCCCACCTCCCGGGGTGTTCAGCAGACATCTCTCACTCAAGCTGTCTTTAGGGTTTGACTTTGCTCATTAAGCCATTGTGAGATAACTCGACCTATTGTCGAATCTATTTTTCCTTAATATAATGCATTTTAATATATAACTGCCGCACACTACTGCTTATAGACAAAAAGACCAGTAGGATTTTTTTTAACTTATCAAATCCAGTGTACCATTTCTGTTAATAGACACGAGATGTCTCTAGGAAGTCTAGAAGGAGAACATGAGCTAATCAAATGAGAGAACTTTTCATCTCTCACTTACGCATAACCCCAAGGACACAAAATCTAGTTTTTTGTCCTCTTTGGCTACTGCCAGAGAAGAACCAGCAAAAAAGGTTATTTGGAAAGGTACAGGAACATTGCAGCCTGGGCTAGTACCAGAGGCCTGCCAGGGATCTCAGCAGGCAGCCCATTGCCACAGCTTTCCAGGAGACTAATCACAGCCATTACTTAATTTTAAGCTGAATAGGGTGGAACCCTTTCTCCCAGAGAGCTGCTATTATCCTCTCTCCCTCTAATGGCTGCCTTGGTCCTTGCCTTGGTCCTAATGCTGCCTTCAGGAAATTAGCAGATCAAGAGCAGGAGTGCTTCCTACTCTGTTCAGGCAGGCTGCATTTCTGCCTCTTTGTGACCCCTCAACTCTGCATGGCTTTTTTTCTATAGAATTTGCAAGGAGCAAGGCAAGTAGTATTTGGCATCCTTCAACTGATATGCATCAGGACCTAACTGCTGAACCCACTTTCTGAATTAGAGGAGAGTTTCTCTCAAAGATGCTGTAGAGCAGACATGTCAAATACAAGGCCCGGGGGCCGGATGCAGCCTGCGAAGTGGTTTCATGTGGCCCGCGAAGCCATCCTGGAAACAATGAGGGAACGGCCCCCAATGCCTTGGCCCTGGCCCAGGCTGGCCGGGAGCCAATGTACAATTTTGTGGTGGCCATCTATGCTGAAACACATTCAGTCTTAGCTCCACAAGGCCGTCCAGAAACAGCGAGGAACCAGCCCCTACTGCATTGGCCCCGCCCCTGGGTGCATGCTGGGGAGATGTCACCCTTTGTGAGGAATGAAGAAATGTACCATGCCTTGGTGCTTGCCCTGGTCCCACCCTCTTCTGCCAGAGACCCTCAGATCTGTCCCACTCCTGCCCAGGCCCCCACAGGGACCCTTGATGCGAACGATGTAGAGCTGGCCATGCCCACCCAGTAGGCCACATCAACTCCATCCACGCCCACCCAGTAGGCTGCACCCACCCTGGCCACACCCACCTGGCCCCCCAAGGGCAACTGCAATGCTGATGCGGCCCTCAATGAAATTGAGTTTGACACCCCTGCTGTAGAGGCAACATTTAGAAAAGGATTGAGTCAGTGTAGGTAAGGCAATGTTTTTGGGTTGGGAACATATCTGGAAAATATGGGTATTTAAAAAATGGCAGCAGGGAGGCCACGATTAACCATAAAATCCTTGTTCTCACAAATAGCTTCCCAGATGCTCTGTGCTATCTCTTACTGGTCCAAAGGAACTGAAAATAAATATGAGACTAGAGTCTAGTTGAATGAGGCAGTTTGATGGCAGATGCTACCAACACCATATCAGGCCTTTTCTAAATGATATAATAATCAGCAATGATGAATGCTGCAGCAGTAACAGCCACTAATTATCTTTGGCAGATCTATAGCCTTTCTTCCAAAAGCTTTAGGCCTGGTTGATAGTTAAGGCACCACCATGAACTCCATGAGTTATATAGTAGATTGTCAAAAAATGTATTAGAAGAAGGTAATAAATTGTTTCCCTATTATTTCTATATTATTAATTATTTTATATTATTAATTGTCCCAGCAACGATACGTAATTCCCAGTTCAGCCAAGGAAGAATTTCCCTTTAGTATTAATGGAAATACTACTCGATTAAGTTAGCCACTATTATCTTTAGTCTAACAGTTAATATGGCAGGTATGATAGATAGCACTTTCTTATTAATATTGGTTTCCATTTTTTGGAATTTAATGGACAAGCAATATTTGTCAGATTCCACTATTACTGATTTCTAGTAGCCTAGATCCTAACTTCTATATGAAACACAGCAGGGGCCTTAGATGTCTTAAACATATTTGGTAGGAAGATAGATTTTGAACTTTGTGAATCTCAGTTTACCTTTTTTAATCTTCTAAATCTATTTTAGCAAGTAATCAGGAACTGACCATTAAGATAATCTATAGGTGACTTTACCTTCTAATAAACTTGTATGTCATACATTACAGCCTTTCTACGTTGTGTTGACAGGATGTAAACACATAGATACATATTACTTTTTCAAACAAATATAATCTTTTTTTTTACCATGACAAGCTTTAATCTTAAAGAAAATAATTAAATAATTAAAAGTACAAACCTCCAATAGAATAGACTATACGTAGCTCAGGTTTGAACTGTGGGGTCTCTGAGCTTCATTGCTTGCTTGCAGAAGTTTCATTATCCAACTAGGCAATATTATCAATGATATTGGGTGTGCGGATTGTCCCTGTTTATATATAGTAGTTTGTCATGCCAGTGTTGATAGGGTTGTGGTTTTCTCCTTGGTAGTTTCTTGATCAGGGTGTTCTTTTCTGCTTGATTCCTTGTCTGATATTAATCACTGCTACTGGAGAGATGTATTCTGATCTTTTTGTTTCTTAGCTTTTTATTGTCTTTTGAATGGTGTGTAAATGTGGTTTATCTCTATGTGTTTACAAACTAAAAAACTAGTAAAAAGCAGAAACTAAAAATACAAGCTATGAAAAAAGGAAAAATCTATCTTACATTTCATACCTTGTAATGTTTGCATGGTACATATTATTACTTTTGGTAGTACTATTCAGTTAATCATTTCCTTTGATCACAATTTTTTGACAAAATTAGAAAAGTTTTCATAATGGACAATATACTATGTTTACTATCTCTATTTCTTAATGCATACAAATGGATATAACATATGAACTTATTGTATAAGCTGCTATGCTCATTATGCCAAAACACAAGACAGCCAAAATAATTAACTGGTAGTATTTAAAATGCTAGGAAATGCCTTGGCCAAAAAATTAACAGTACAACAAAAAGTTTTGAAAAACTCTACAGTAAAGGACTAATTCAGTCTAATTTGTTCATACGTATTAGCTAGGCTATTTTCTTCCGTGGATTATCTCATTTATATAAATGCAATTTGAATATAAATGTTGAATATGGGTGTTTGAACTGTTCGTCTGGGTGACTCTTAGAACAATAAAAACATAAAAATCATAAGAGAAACTCCCAGCACCACAAAGGCAACATTTCCAACAAGTTCACATTCAACTGTACTGGGCTCCGATCTTATCCTACTCTACTTATGGGAAGAGCCAACTCGTCAAGGCCAGAAAGCTAGGAAGGGGGAACTGGCAGATCTCAGGGTGAAGAGTCTTCGCCAGGGCAGGGCCACCATGGAGAAGATGCAGTTCCCACCAGATAATAAGACATTTAAGGAAAGGAACTTGGAATGCATCCACTTGGTAGAAGAGGCAGATACTTTAAGGGAGACGTTGTCCCACACATAAACTAGACCAATAGTGTCCAAGGTTTTTATCAGCACTTTAAATTGCATCTGGAAAAAATCTGGAAGCCTGAGCAGCTCACACAGCAGTGGTAATGTGGCTCATTACCTCATTCTGGACCAGCTGTCATTTTGGATGGTCTTCAAGTGCAGGGCCCACAGGTCCAGAACACAAATAGCAGAATTTGCAGCTTGAGAACTTTATTCACTTTCTTGGGAGTACCTGTCTCAAACTCCTCTCACACAACTAAGCTCAGATGTCTTGGTCATTGGATTAACCAAGCTGATACCAACTCCAAGCAAAGTCAAGACTATTTCTCTCAGTGACTCAACAAGGGCTCCCCATTCCTTCTTTCCTCAG